GGGCTTGGAACTGGATGAGCTTTAAGGTCCCTTCAACACAAACCATTCTCTGACTCTTAAGTGCTGTCATATTGCACTGCTTTGTGGTAACCATGATCAAGTTCAGCATTTCTGTATTTTGCTGGCATGCGTTCAGAAATCTTGATTTCTGAATTTGAGGATTTTTATTAATTACTATTAGTTTTGAATAGGCTGGGCTATAGGTGAAGGTGTCACTGTGACCAGGGCTGGGAGGCTGATGGGCACTAGTTGTGCACTGGAGTTCCAGAGAGGACTAATCCATTTCACCTGCCCTGAAAGAGGAAATACGTTTCTATTTATCCTCCTGTTCATAAACCAGCAGCTGAGCTTTACAGTGCTTCACGTACAGCAGCCTTTTACCACAGACGAGGTGTTGTTCTGTGCCAGGTTTGCCCTGGCTTTTGTTCCAAAGTGCACTGTTTGCAGCGGAGCGGTGTTAGCGAGGTCACTTCTCATGTGGCGTGACAGGCAATGTGCAGAATCATCCCCTGGGTTAGTGGTTTGATTTGCTGGCTCTTACGTTGTGTGGCTGTAGTTCTCCAGCAGCTCTTCCTTCCTCAGCCTCCTTAATCTACAAGCCTCTCCCACACTGTGCGTTGGTGGCTTTTGTCTTTCCACTGGTGTTCAGCATTTCTTTAGGATGTTCCCCTCGTAGCTTTGCCTTAATTTTCAATAACATTCCACTTCCACACTTGACACATCTTCATGGATCTGTGTCATCAGTTTTCCTTGTGCTCTGCTTGACAGGTGTATTATAAAGGTTTGAAAAGGATGGTGTTCCTTGTAATAAAAGAGCTGTAATTAAGGTCTTTTTTGTTCTAGTTTGCATCATGTGGCTACAAACCCAAGTGCTGTGTGGTATTGAGACACTCGAGAGCTTGGTCTTCCTCTCAAAGACCGGAGAACAGGATTTCAGTGCTCCAAATTGAGCCTAGATGAAGATGACCCCATGTTCTTGTGGTGTGGATGTGCCCCAGTGCACCTCTACAGCTTGGCAGGTCATTGGGAACTGTTCCCCTGGCCTTCCAGTTGCAGGATTTCTGCTAAGCAGGAGTGATGGCTGCAGCTGCTTGGTTGGGTTAGCTGTGTCTTGTGCTGTCACATGCAGCTATGGGCATCTCATCAGATGAGATGGGCTTGGAAGAAACCACATGGTCTTATGACCACCACCTTCTCTTGGAAGACCATTCATCATTGCTCCCGCAGGGTCAGTGCTGGAGTGGCAGGGGGCCTGTGTGACAGTGTGGTGGAGGGGCTCTGCCATTTCTCATATGTATTAGCAAAATGCACTCTGGCTGACGAGCAAATGGAGCAGGGATCTAAGGACATTGTTGGGATAAACTTAAATTTGGGTCCTGACTTGGTGGTGCAGGATTGGAAGGGGGAGAAGGGCTGCCTGAAAAGGGAAAAATCCCAGATCCTGCAGTGGATACTGCATGCAAAGGAGAGACCATTGTTCATAGACTCAGCTAGGTTGGAAAAGACCGTTAAGATCATCAAGTCTAACCATTATCCCAGGACTGCCAAGGCCACCACTTTTAACTCTGAAGTTCTCAGAACTGCACTGACTGACTAGCTGGGAGCAAGCTAACCTGGCTGAGTATCCATCCTATGGGCAGTCCAAGAGGATATCTTGATGTTGTTCCCCCCGGAAGGCCAGCACAGGAGGTGTTGTGTGTCAGTTACTCTGTGGTGCAGTTACTCTGTTTGGAGGACAAACACAAGGGATGGGGAGAAAAGCAGGTCTGGAAAAATCACATTATGTGCTTTCTTGCTGCTTGAATCCATTGGAGTAACAACCAGCCCCCAAAACCCCTGATCCAAACCAAATAAGCAGCCAGTGAGCGTGCAGCTTGCTGACAGCGCGAGGATGGGAGGAGAGGTGTGACTGCAGAAAGAAACATCCATCACAGTACTGTAGTATCACAGGCTGGTTTGGGTCGGAAAGGACCGTAAGACCATTTAGTTCCAGCCCCCTGCCACAGGCAGGGACACCTTCCACTAGAGCAGGTTGCTCCAAGCCCCTGTGTCCAACCTGGCCTTGAACACTGCCAGGGATGGGGCAGCCACAGCTTCTCTGGGCACCCTGTGCCAGCGCCTCAGCACCCTCACAGGGAAGAGCTTCTGCCCCAGAGCTCATCTCAATCTCCTCTCTGGCAGGTTCAAGCCATTGCCCTTGTCCTGTCCCTCCAGGCCCTTGTCCAAAGCCCCTTTCCAGGTTTCCTGGAGCCCCTTTAGGCCCTGGAATACCAGCACAGGAAGTGGGTGCTCTGGTTAGCAAACAGTAAAGATGTGCTACTATTGGGGAGGGGATTTTATACGCTTCTGACCCAGAAGCTGCAGCTGACTTCACCTGAGTGGGGATTACTTGTTTGGATGCTTTTCTTATTGACTTATAGATAAAACTGCTTTCTGCAGATGCTTCACAGATGCTGAAGTGGTTGTGTGGTGAGCTGGACTGGGGAACTGATCCAGGCTAAAATGGTTTTGTATTTATTTTGGGGGGATTTTGCTGCTTGACTTTACCTGATGCATTCCTTGGTCCAGCTCCTGTGCAGGAGCCTTGTGTCCTGCCACTGGAGAAGTGCCACAGGGACAGGAACAGCCCATAGAGGACAGTTGGACTGGCTTCCTTTGCTTGTAGAGGCAGCTTAGGACAGATATTCTTGCAACCTCTTGTGTACAGAAATAATGTTTCATGCTCCACGTGAGTTGAATGTCATTTCAGGAAGTGGCCACATACTACTGATGTCTGAGAACAAGATCGGTGTTATTAGAAATACACCCTGTTCCCTAGAGATTACCCTGTGCAGTGCTGCTCTTTGATATCCTTGTGTTTGTCAAAGGCCTCACACCTGAAAGGGAAGTCTCATGTTAACTTTTGTAGAAAGGTCTTCAGTGAGGTGTCGCATGAAGTGGGGAAGGAAGTGACCTGATGGGAAGTATGGAATGCCCCAGGAGGAGAAGTGGCTTTGTAGCTGGCAGTATCTTCTTTGAAGCACACTAGATCCTTGCTGCATGTTTTCAGATACTTTCTGGATGGCATTTTGTTGTCTGCAGGTGTCTTGGATTTATAACAGCATGATATCAGCTCACTGTGAGGCTGATGCAGTTTGAGTGCTGAAGGGGACCAAGCTCTTGATGGTGAGGAGAGCCAGATGCCTTCCCCGGGCTGTTACAGACCATCACTACTGCTGTGATTGTGCAGAAGGTCCTGAAATGACCCGTCCTGTGTAGCGCTATGACAGCAGCATAGATCCAGTGTGTTATTCCTTAGGGTTTCTGCTATGTAGCTGCTCCAACTTTGGAAATATTTTAAGGCCTGACTCAGAAGAGGATCTTAATAATCAAAGTGAAGAAGTAAATCGTGAAAAATGACTGTGTGGAGAATGGATCAAGGGCAGCCCTGAGGAGAAGGACTTGGGGGTGTTGGGTGATGGGAAGCTCCCCATGACCTTACTTCAGTGTGTGCTTGAGCCCAAAGCCCTCCCGTGTGCTGGGTGCCCCCCCAGAGCGTGAGCAGCAGGTCAGGGAGGGGATCCTGCCCCTCTGCTGTGCTCTGGGGACACCCCCCCTGCAGCCCTGATCCAGCTCTGGGGAACAGCACAAGAGGGACGTGGAGCTGGTTGAGCGAGGCCAGAGGAGGCCCCGGAGCTGCTGCGAGGGCTGGAGCAGCTCTGCTCTGGAGCCAGGCTGAGAGAGCTGGGCTGGGGCAGCTGGAGAAGAGAAGGCTCCTGAAGGGGACACCTTAGAGCAGCTCCAGTGCCTAAAGGGGCTCCAGGAAACCTGGAGAGGGGCTTTGGACAAGGGCCTGTAGGGACAGGACAAGGGCAATGGCTTGAACCTGCCAGAGGGGAGACTGAGATGAGCTCTGAGGCAGAAGCTCTTCCCTGTGAGGGTGCTGAGGCGCTGGCACAGGGTGCCCAGAGAAGCTGTGGCTGCCCCATCCCTGGCAGTGTTCAAGGCCAGGTTGGACACAGGGGCTTGGAGCAACCTGCTCTAGTGGAAGGTGTCTCTGCCCGTGGCAGGGGTTGGAGCTGGATGAGCTTTAAGGTCCCTTCAACCCAAACCAGTCTGTGGTTCTGTGCATTTCACTTGATGTGACATGTCTTTCTGCCATGGGACCTGTCACCTTCCCAGGACTGTGGTGGGTTCTGTGCTTCCCTGCTGATGGTGCTCTCTGTCCTGTTACCAGGAATTCCCAAAATACAACGTCACCATTGAGAAGGACGGGGGCTGCAACCACATGGTGTGTCGGAACCAGAACTGCAAAGCGGAGTTCTGCTGGGTCTGTCTGGGCCCCTGGGAGCCCCATGGATCTGCCTGGTGAGTCCAGAGCGTGCTGTGCTGGAAGTGATGGAGCTGGGCCACAAACAGCACGATTTGGACTGACATCTGTGCTGTCTGTGTCCCCTCTTACAGGTACAACTGTAATCGCTACAATGAGGATGATGCAAAGGCAGCAAGGGATGCACAGGAGGTGAGTCCATAACCTGTAGCGATGAGGGAGGTCACCAGCCCTGGGGTGTGCTTTTTCTAAACCTATAAAAATTCCTGGATTTGGGCACAAATCCAATTGGCAGTTACGCTCCCCCGCAGCTTTGGACTCTTGCTTCCTGCCAGAAAAAAACTGTTCAAAGCCATTTTAACTCAATTTAAAGAGCATGTTAGCTCAGTTGTTACCTGTCATGCTGCCTTGCCTGTTTTATAGCAGCTCTTCATATGATGTCAACATAATGCTGTGGGTCTGAGACAATGATCCTCACATCCTGCATGAAATGCTTTTCTGTGACGTTCTTAATGTGAATCCTGAGGTGTTTAAATGCAGCAGAGCTTTTGAATGTCAATAAAATAAAACTTCTGTTGTGCCAATAACTATACTAGGAGGCTTGACACAGAAGAAATTGTGGGTGAAGTTGCAGCTGTGTTAAGCTGTTTGGTGAATAAGGATAGAGCCACCTCTCTTTTTAATGGGCAAGGATTGCATTGTGTGCTGCAGCTTGCAGAAATCCCTTTCCTGCATCTCTGTTACAGCCAAGAACCAAAGGATTTCCTGCAGCCCTTCCTCGTGCAGTTAGAGATGCCTTTGGCTGATACATGCTACCTTTATACATCTACAATGTACAGGTTTAACTGTGCCCATATTGTCCTTTCTTGATAGCTGATCTGTCAGTGAGAAGGAAGTGAGATTAATGACTGTGGACTGAGTCATCTTGGTTCTCTTGTACTGTGTAGCACATGGTCTCTTTCCCCTGCTCTGTAATCAGTGTGGTCTAAGCAACAGAAGGTTGTCCTGTGAACATAAGCACTGGAGTTGTTTAATTGGAGTTCTTTATTAGCCAAATCCCCACCCCTCAAGAAATAGAAAATGTGTTTCTTGCGGCTTCTCATGACACTGGAATCATTTAAGTCCTAGAAGGCTGAAATTCAAAACTGATGGGGCTTTAGCCATGTGATTCTAGTAACTTTCAAGGTTGGGAGTGAGGATGTCACAGCCCCTCTAGGAAAGTGCCCGCAGGACAGTGAGCTGCAGCAGGTCTGGCCTCTCATCTCCACACAGTGTCAGGGTTAACAGCCTGGCCAGCGTGAGGGGAGAGAAAACACCTTTGGAAAGGAAGCTGGTTCTTGGGGTCAGGAAGAGCCTTGTTGAAGGGTTTACTTCTCCTGCAGCCAGTACTTTGTTTTAACTCTTCACTTTCTTTTTCCCTAATGGGAATTAACACAGCGATCCAGAGCAGCCCTGCAGAGGTACCTGTTCTACTGCAACCGCTACATGAACCACATGCAGAGCCTGCGCTTCGAGCACAAGCTCTATGCTCAGGTGAAGCAGAAGATGGAGGAGATGCAGCAGCACAACATGTCGTGGATTGAGGTGCAGTTTCTGAAGAAAGCAGTCGACGTCCTCTGCCAGTGTCGTGCCACACTCATGTACACTTACGTCTTTGCCTTCTACCTCAAAAAGAATAATCAGTCCATTATCTTTGAGGTAGGAGAAAACACAGTTGTCAGAAGTTCTGATTAAAAAGCAAAGTAGAGATTTAGTGCTGGGGGAAGCTGTTGTCCCTGGTTTTGCCCAAGTGAATCTGTCTTAATATTCTGTTGTGCAAAAGTTAGAGGTCCTCGAATCCTGTGTTCAGCTCTGGCCCTCACTACAGGAGGGACATTGAGGTGCTGGAGTAGGGCTAGAGAAGGGCAACAGAACTGGTGCAGGACCTGGAGCACAAGTGTGATGGGGAAGGGCTGAGGGACCTGGGGGTTTAGTGTGGAGAAGAGAAGGCTCAGGGGGGACCTTATCGCTCTCTGCAACTGCCTGACAGGAGGATGGAGCCAGGAGGGGGCTGGTCTCTGCTCCCAAGAACAAGTGACAGGACAAGAGGAACCGGCCTCAAGCTGCCCCAGGGCAGGTTTAGGTGGAGCTGAGGAACAATTCCTTGCCCAGAGGGCGCTCAGGCATTGGAACAGGCTGCCCAGGGCAGGGCTGGAGTCACCGTCCCAGCAAGTGTTCACACACTGTGTAGATGAGGCCTCAGTGCCAGGGGTTAGTGGTGGCCTTGGCAGTGCTGGGGATGGTTGGACTTGATGAGCTTAAAGGTCTTTTCCAGCCTGGTTGATTCTGTGATTCTATGTAGCATTATCTGCTGGAAGAGGAAGCAGAGTTACAAGATGCTGCCCTCTGAAACAGGAAAGGGAGTGAGGTTCTGAACTGGCCAAAGAGGCATTAAAGCTTCAGTCTGGCATTTTGACTTTACCTGGTGTCGGCTTTTTTCCAAGGGCACTTCCATTAAAATTGCACTTGAGGGTCTAAACATGGAGGCCTGATCTGATTCAAAGTGAAACTGTTCTCAACATAAAAAGGACATGGAGCTGCTGGAGCAAGTCCAGAGGAGGGCCACCAGGATAAGAGGATTGGGGCACCTCCCGTATGAAGATAGGCTGAGAAAGTTGGGGCTGTT